GGGTGTGTATTAGAGAAATAAGAAAAGGTTAAATAGCTATCATTCTTAAGTCATATGTTTAGCTCATTTCTTGTAACTGTTTTTGTCTTCTTCTCCCTATGAGTAATAAGCTCGTCCTTAAGCTGAGATGTGCCTGCTTGTAGTTGGCTCCACGTGGCATGTAGTGGTTTGTTTGTAGCCTAGGGTTTTAGGATAGCTGCAGGTATGTATACCTTGCTTCCATTTGTTACCGACACGTTTTTCATAAATCTCAAAATACATCTCCATCTTCATGCTTTCTTGGTGTTTGGATGTTTGTGCATTAATGACTAGCTTACCATTTCTACCAATACTTAACCACACAAAATATTTTATTCAAAAACAACTTTAGAAAATATAAAAGAGACTCAAAATTTTCAGAATTCTATGGTACCACATGTGGCACCATATTATGGTGCCATATGTGGTGTCATAGAGTTTCTGCAAATTTTTAGCTAAAACTAAATTTGTGATATTAATGATGATAAATCAAAATCTAAACAAAATATAGCAAAATTGCATATTAATACACCACCTTTCATGTTTTTGCAATTTAATCACCACCTTTGTAATTTAGCAATTTAATACACCACTTTGACTATTTTTCGCAATTCGAATCACAGGGCCCAATTTCGGGTTTTTTGTGCTGACATGACATTTTATGGTTTGACGTGCGTTTCATGTGTCAATGACATGGCTTTTTTTTTTGCTGACAGGGCGTCCTGCGTGTTAATTGAAATAAAAAAAATTGTTGGTCAAGAGATTCAAACCTTAGCCATTGACCTTCCTTTGTAGCTCTACAACGACCACACCAATCAAATTTAGTTGGTGATTCTAATAACCATTTATATATATATATATATATATATATATATATATATATATCAAATTAGATTAAATTATAATGCAAATTATATTAAATTAAAATATAAAATATAAATTAAAATAAGTTAAATTATAAAAAAATATAAAATAATAAAATAAATTAAGATAAAATGTATTGTAGTAAAATGATTAAACTAACTTAAATTAAATTTATATATATATTATTTGTTACATATAATTAATTATATAAATTTTGAAGTGAAAAATAATAATGTAAACTTAAATTAAAAATAACCTAAACTAAAGTACACCATTAATATAATAAGAATAATATAATATAAAAAAGGTAAAGTAAAATAAAATAATAAATATAAGAGATTATTATGAAACATTAAATTAAAATCAATAAAAATTTAAATGAATATAATGAAATATGAAATATTATTTATAAAATATTATTAATATGTTTTACTCTAACATAAAATATGAATTAAGAAATTTATATATTTTAATTATCTTGTTTATTTTAATTTATTTTATTTTCGTATAATTTTATATAATTTATTTTATTATAAATTTATATTTTATTAATTGAATTTAATAATTTACATTATCTTTTAAATTTGATTTAATTTATTCATATGTAATGTTTATATATATACAACGCTGTCAAATTTATAACCTAACTTGGAATGGTGTGGTGGTGGAAGAGTTACCATGCAACTCTCACATCCTAGGTTCGAATCCCATGACCAACATATTTTTTTTTAGAATTAATTTACACATGGAATGTCATGTCAGCACAAAACGCCATGTCATTGATACACTGAATGCCATGTCAACGCCCCGTCAGCTGTAAAATGCCATGTCAGCACAAAAAGCACGAAATTGGGCCCTGTGATTGGAATTGCAAAAAATAGTCAAAGTGGTGTATTAAATTGCTAAATTACAAAGGTGGCGATTAAATTGCAAAAACACGAATGTCAAAGTGGTGTATTAAATTGCTAAATTACAAAGATGGTAATTAAATTGCAAAAACATGAAAGATGGTGTATTAATATGCAATTTTGCCAATATAATATAATATTTTAAGTATTTTTTTAACTTCTCATACCATATTAGTTATAAAATGGATATGAATAAAAAAAAGTATCAACAAATATAATATAAATATTTTTTTAATTAATTGTAGATCAAGTATTATTAAGTATAAAATTGAACTGAAGTTTAATTGTTATTACTATTTTGTTAAGTATTTTAAAATACTAAAATTGTACAATAAAGTTGACATAACATATGTAAACAAGACACATCCAATGTTATAATGCGGATCTTAATTTCGATTATTCGGTTCGGTACTGTATGAGATGTTTCGGGTGAGTCCTTAGTACGGATATTTATGAAATATCCAGAACTGGACCAATTATTTTTTCAATTCGACTCTTTTCGGAAAAGTCAAACCCTCAACGGTTATATAATTAAAATTCAATTCAGAGAGAATCCTACATAATTTTTAAACCGCTCGAAATTCTCCAAGTCTCGTGCTAAGTCGTAGATTTAACTATGACCATAATGTGTCCATCAACCGTCTTCCTTTTTTCAGCTCCGTTTTTCTCATAAATCCCAGAAATTCTATTGTGCCACATGTGACACCATATTATGGTGCCACAACATGATGTGACACATTATGATTGGTGCCACAACATGATGTGTGATAGTGTGATACCAATCATAATGTGGCACATTATGTTGTGGCACCACAGAATTTCTGCATAAATCCACAAGTATTAGCTTCATTGTGTTGCATTAATTTGACCATGTGAACCAATAATATTTTGAATTTGGAATGTTCAAAGAATGTAATGTGCATGCAATCAGTCATGGTTATACTTTGGAATAACACACATTTGGAGAATACATACACGTTAAATACAGGATTAATAAGCCTACAATCTCGTTACTGAACCATTCTATTGCGATTTGTACACGTTAGATGTCATGTAGATTAGTGTTGCATGTGCATCTAACGCTTACAAATCCCAACAGAATGGTTCCGTAACGAGACTGTAGCATTAGTAATTGAACAAATCAAAGCACCTTCGAAATAGATTGAAAAAAAAAAAAAATGGTTCAACTCTCAAATAAGTGGGAAAAAAGGGGTAAAACTTGCTCCTCAAATGCGTATTTGAAGGATTAGTAAACACACTCGCCCATGGCAATAGTCAATTCAATCAAAATCTCTGACTTCATTTCTCTTCATTTTTCAAA